GTGACTGGTCATTATTTTGACAAAGTGTAAAAAACAAAATTAAAAGATTAAGTTTATCTTCAAGCAAAATTCCATCATTCATGTTGGATTGAATGCTTGATAATTCTGGGAGATGTTTAAAGAAATTTAAATCTTGAATGACTAATAGAGAAAGTGATTAAGATAAAAAATACGGTATTACTATTTATATAGCAAAAGAATAACTGTTTATACATGATGATCAAATCTATGCAATCCAAAGCACTTTAGCATGTGAGTGTACTAATGAAAATATTTTGCAATAAACAAGTCATTTGATTGTAAAATGTTTTACTATTAATAGAGGCAGAAGAAAGTCTAATAAATACTAATCTGAAAAAATTTATTCCTCCCAAAATTCCATCTTTTTTTAATTTTATTCTTTATGAGTGGACCAATTAATTTAAAGTAGCACCAAAAATTGATTCCATAAAAGGGAAAAATATTGTCTACACAGTAGATTTTCTGAGTTTTTTTCCTTGCGTATATAAGGATACAAGTACCAACGTTAAATTTAATGTTGTAATAATTTTAACTGTATATCTGTGGGAAAATGAAATAAAATCAATAAATAAAAAGAATAATAAAGAATAAAAAAAATGTGTTTTCAATGAGGCAAGTAATAAAAGGAACCAGAAAGGGTTATTGGTCATGTACACAATTTTATGACCCCACTTCTAGACAGAAACTTTCTCTTTCCAACACATGGCATTCGCATGTGTCTTCCAAAACCTCCACCTATGAAGTAAATCAACCTTTGATTGTTCCAGCACAGCACAAGGCTGACAAGCTTGGCCATTTTAACCACTTATCCTAACTTACTTCAGGACAAGGAAAAAAAAAAAAAAAGGTCATACCCAAGAGACACTGAGGACTTAGTTTCCACTGTTAAAAAAATAAAAATAAAAAAAAATAAACAATCCATAGTAGAAACCAAAATTTTTGTATGTTTCTTTCATTGCTTACATGTGAACACACACACATCCATCCATCCATCATACAAACCTTTAAATTCCATATATCTATGAAAATATAAAAAGAAATTTTTATTTTATTTATTTAAACAAAAAAATTAACTGCTATCAGTTAACAGATTATCATTTGAATATTAATGTGGGAAATTTAGCAATATATATTTTCTTTTTTAATCGTTTCATATTGCAAAGCAATAATGCCACTAGAAAACAGGGCCTTACATGGAGTGAAAGTAAAAGAGAAAGAGAAGACAGAGAATGGGTAGGATTGAGGAAAGGATCAAGAGGAACTGGATCTCAAGAAAACAGAAAATGGTAATTGACGTTAGACTTAATTTTTTGAAGACTATAGTTATCAGGAAAGCAAGAAATTGGAAGAGAGTTCCATAGGTGGGAGGTATGAAAAAAGAAATTGTTGGAATAGAAGTGATGGTTGCACCTAGCTAGTTCAACAGTAAAACAGTGAGACCTTGTTGCCAATCTAATAGCATGCTTAAATTTATGTAGTTGAGGAAACAGAGAAAAGAAGCTCAGCAGAACAGTTGCCATAAAAATATTTGTAGAAAAAACAGAAGGAAGCAACATCATGTTGGTGAGAGATACCTGGCCAGACCCTTCTTTGAAATTTGTCAAGAACATCGAGATGTACAGCAGAAGCATCAGACCAGATATTGGAAAAGAAAATGTTATACATTTAAACAGAGTTCAGTTCTAAAATGAGTTTCAGTTAAAAAGTAACAACTTATTTGATCAATTGAAAAGTTTTTTATTTTTTAAATAAATAAAATTAGCATTAAAATAAAAATGAATTTCTAATCTATTATGTCAAATGCATAAAAAATAAGGTTTTAAAAAATTTACATTCTTTGTAAACACATTTAGTTTATACAGGTTTGTGGTTCCATTTCATAATATATAAATATTTAACAAGATTATATAAAACTGGGTCTAAGAAGACACCCAACATAGGTTTCAAAACTAGAATTTTTAACTGATATGTGCTTAATTAAATTACCAAATTTCTGTATCCTGGTTACCCAGGCACATAAGAAAATTAAATACACCTCTAAAATTTAGTGTATGCATATTTCTACACTTTATTTTTAAAAAAAGTTGGTACATTCTTTGACCTCAAATTAGAAAATAATTTCTAATGCAACACAAATTCATTTCGCATCTCAGGTGCTCATCTTTGATGTCATTTAAACCATTTCAAACACAGAAGTCTCAAGACACAGCAATTAGAGAATTAATTCTAATCATTCGATAATCTCTTCAGATGGACTAACCATTTACTGGGCCTGCTTAAGAAAAACTGTAGCAATTTATCACCTGCTAAAATAAAAAAAAAAATAAAAAAAAAATAATAATTGATCAAACAATTGAATTAAATTCCTTTAATAACAAAATTAATATCATCTTCAAATAGAAATAATAAGAAAAATAATCATATTTATGAAATCTGTAAGAGCAGGTCAGAATTAATTGACTTCTGGAAAAAGAATAGGTAGATACAATTGCAGAAAAGAAATATATATGACATGATAGGCAAGCCTCTTTTTTTAAATGAAGGAAAAAAAAAAAAAAAAAACCAGCTTATCTCTAGTCTTCTAAACCTATTATACTTTTCCTTTCTTTTATCCTGACAATTTCTTTTTCTTTAAGCATGATTGAATTAAATTTCCTAAACAATGATAATTTCAGGAAATAGATCTCTCAGATACTCTGGCACACATCATCATTGATACTTTTAGCTGTCAATTATTAGGGGTTTCAGGTCTTACAACATCACACCCATCCTCTATGGTGACCCAATCAATATAATATTGATCAGATATCAACTTGAGTACCAGCATTCAGGTACAACTCTTCTCATAATGGAACGCTATACTAACTCATGGCGACAAAAAACTCCTTAGGCCTTTACAGCCCAATCAGGATTAACTTCCAGTTCACACTAGCTTAAAAAAAAAAAAAAAAAAAAAAAAAAACAACCTAATAAATTTATTTTATCCTATCTTTTAACACCATACTAACCACTCAACACTAACTGCTGAATACACAATGAAATGAAAAAAAAAAAATCAGTTTAAAATAATCAATTAAATTTACTTGTAAAGAAAAAAAAAAGGATAACTGAAATAATCTGTTTAAAATAAATAAATAAAATCATCTGTCTATATTTCTGAAATGAGATATTGTTGGTAAAATGTTGGTAGAGTAATCCAAAAAGTGACTTGACCTAAAGAGTTGTTGACTAGAGGGGGAAAAAAACTTGGAGAGTTAAGTTACTAAAAGAAATAAACTGAAACCGATATATCTAAAAAAAAAAAAAAAAAAAAAAAGGCATGGCACATGGGATTAGAACAATCTATCCCTGTGGACTAAATAAAGGGTTCTGTTTGAAATTCCAATGTATTTCACCTGAAGAAGGTCCAAAACATACAACAGCAAAAATGTCATGAATATGGCAAGAAAAATGAGGACCAGAGCCTGAATAATGTAAATAAATAAAATTAATACCATGTTCAAAAACATTGTCAAAATAGATGTAACATTATTAAAAAAAATAAAAAATAAATCACTATAGTGCATTTTCTAAGCAGGCCTGTTAAATAGTAGTCAATCCATCATGTCTGATTGTTTATATCATCTTTGTTCTACTACTTTTTTTACATTTTTATTTTATATTATTATTACTTCTACCCCATTTTATGCTTTTTATAAAATATTATCTCCACCTAATCAAGGCAGAATGTTGGGATGATAAAATAAAACATGGAGTAACAAGTCAAAATACATTTCTATTCTTAAAAATAAAAAAAAAAAAAAAAAAAAAAAAAAAAACAAATCTGCTCTATCTACTCATTATCAAAAAAAAAAAAAAAAAAAAAAAATCAAAAAAAAAAAAGTTATAAATGGTAAAGTTATAATCAATGAAAAAAAAAAAAAATTCTTTAGCAATTAAGATACTTGCTGTAATCAGCAAACTTCTCAAAATTCATCACTCAGATTTTTGATTGCCAGTAAATAATTAATGTCCCATTTCAGATTAAACTAGGCTAAAATAAATATCTAATGAATGAAAATAAAATGTAATAAAAATGTTAAAATTAAAATTATTCTTTCTTCATACACTTTAATTATTACAAAAGATTTATTTCTTAAATCTAAATCTTTCCTATATATATATATATATATATATATATATATATATATATATATATATATAAAATCTCCTGCTGAAATGTAATCTTTTAATTATTCAAGAGCTATAGTAAATGTGGGCATCACCGAGAATGCTAGATTTGATCTATCATTCTAGGAAAAAAAGACATTCCTTTTAACAGGAATGCTTTCATGCAAAAAAGGTACAAGTAAAATTTTAGACCTTTACATTTTTTTTTTTAGTTAAATGTTATACATTGATATTTCAGAATTATTTTTATACTGCTTCAGGATTTTCATTTTTTTTGTTAAAGCTTAAGTTCAAATTCCATTTGAATCCATTACATTCACTTATGTGCTAATACCCTTGGGAAAGGTATGAATCCTCTTTTTCTCCCTCCAGCTATGGGTAAATAGCAGGACAGACCGGGTTCTATAGCGTTTGATGGCAACTGGTCCACTGCAGAAAGAAATGGCAACCTACTGCAGTAAAAAATCTGCCTTGTCAGTCATGTATCAAAAGATACATGATCACCTAAATGTGTATCATGCATGACACATAATTGACTGACTTATATAGTAATGCTGATTGATTGGCCTGTTTTTTATAGCTTATCAACCTTTTGCAGTTTATTTAAAGCCAGAAAATATTTTTAGATTGTAAGATTCTTTTTTGGGATTTTAATGATTTAGTGATATGTCTTACTAATTAACCCAGAGAAGAGGTGAATTCATACATTTCTCAAGGATATTTGAACATAAGTGAATATAATGAACCCAACAGGAATTGAAACTTAGCTCTCTGAGCCATTATCCATTACACCACCCACACATCTAAGTTTACAGTACCTGGTATTCCCAAATGGTCACCCATCTAGATACTGACTAAGCTCAATATTGCTTAACTTTGGTGGTTGTACAGGAATTGGTGTTTCAAAGTGATGTGATCATAAGCCTATATTGTAAAGTATTGACCTTTTGATCATGTAAGGATATAAGGAATATATTGACTTTTTATTACAGGTGATCAGTTTAAGTAAATACAAAATTATAACAATTGTTTTTTTTCCCTTTATAAGAGATTTAAAAGAAACAAAAACAAAAAAAGCAAAGGGACACCCCTTCCCACATTAAGTGTGGTTTAGAGACTAATTTAGCTTAAACTAATTCAGGACAGATAATTGATAGTTTGATACCAATATTGAGAGAGATATAACAACATTAATTGATAATTTTGAATAGGATCCAATCATTTCTGCCATTTATAACAAAGAATATGTAAAATAGCATACACATCTTAATGTTTAGCTCTTGAAATGGATAATTGTTCTGAAACCTCAATACAAAAGCTTTAGATACTTGCTTCCTTATCCGTCCCATGTGGGATGAAAAACAAAAAATCTGAAACTTCTATCTTCACTCAGAGAGAGAGAGTGAGAGAGAGAGACAGACAAGTAATATGGAAGAACAAGCACCATCAAAATTCATTAAATTTTTTTTTTTTTTGTTAGTTTTCGTTTTAATGTGTGGATGGTTCCACTACAAATGCTGGAAATTTCTGCTGCAGTAATGGGTTAGTTTTTAGATTTAGTTTATGAAAAGGTTCTCCTACAGTAATTAGAAGTATCTTTTTTTTTTTTCCAGTATCTATAAATAAGCTTAACAGACCGAAACCAACTGCTTTATTATTTTCAATAAATTCCTGCTAATCATATATATATATATATATATATATATATATAAAATCTAAAAAGAATTAATGTATTTTTATTTTAAATCTGACATTCTTTCTTATTACTTTAAACATTATATCTTAGTGGATACACATCTGAGTAGATGCTTTTTGTTTTATTTAAAAACAAAAACAGTTTCCACTACATCTACTGGCTGAGGCATTCAAGTCTTTAAAGAAAATGCTAGCAGGAACATATAAGTGCCTGTTAGTATTTTCTTTATTATTTAACATATGTGTGTGTGTTTGTTTGTTCGTTTACCTAAGTCCATTCATACTAGAACATTGCATTTAGAAAATAATGAAAGATATGAAGGTATTTTTGGTTTTGCTTTTCATAACATTACATATAAGGTAACACATCTTGCAATGTGTTTGCAAACATGAATTCCAGTGGAAAATAAAAACTCCTTAATTAGGGAAGATGCTACAATTTAGCTAAATATCAATTCCTATTTCATAAACAATATTTTCCTACTTTATAATTAAAATCAGAAATGTAGTTTAAAAATATACCTTGAAATTAATCATAAAAAATTCTATATTTGGCTTGACTTATTTACAAGATACACTTAGAAAAAATAGTTGTGGTTTATCATCCGCTTATTAAGTCATTTTCTTTAAGTGAAACAATTTAATCAAATTTTCTATATCATGCCATATTTTCTTTAAAAAAGAAAAAAATAAAAACACCAGAAAACATCTACTCTTCTACCCCTATTAAATTTCTTCTTGCAAAATTTTGACTCACTGTATTATTCTATAATTTTCACAAACTTCCCTAGCAAAAATTATAACAGTCAACTGTTTTGGGACTATCTATCCTAAAATCCCTTTACACAAATTCTTGAGTTACTTTGTTTACCCAATAATAGGTAAGCTTTAGTATCTGTTCTAGCAAACCACCAAAACAACTGTTATGACAAACAGATTTCCAGAACCTACAATTTCAGCCATTACACCTATCAACTAACTTGTCATACTGTTAAGAGAATCTATTTTTTTATGAATGAAACTTCTCGGAAATCTGAGTCATTTGATGTGGTTGGATGACCTTACAAAGTGGAGGTCTTTCATCTGAATATTCGTATTTGTTGGTTGGGGCCAAAATTAAGTGAGTTGGCTCGCTAACAGTTGTTGCCAAAATCTGCTTCAGATAAGTCTGTTTACTAGCATTCACTAACCTGACGTGTAAACTATAACACAAAAAATCCAGCACCTCCTGACTGAAGTTGCTTTGTTGAAGTATTTTTTTTTAATCCTTTGTTTTTTCCTTTTTACCCACTGACCATAATCACTAAAATTATAACTTTACTTTTTTTTTTTGTTTACTATAAAACTTAGTCTTCTGTCATTTCCTTTACTTCTCTTTATCTTATTTCTTTTGTTGCACATGTGACAATACTTATACAAATTATGACTAAGTTAAAAAGGTTACTTACACTTTTTTTTATTATTTATTCAAACATTGTGTCATTGTTTAGGAAATTTAATTCAACTGTGATAAATTGTTACTATTTTTCCTGATCATGCCTGGTATGAAATGATGGTCAAGTCCAGTATTTTTAAGTGTGTGCAGGTTTCATTAAAAATGACTGATGAGATAATTCTGTTAAGTGCTTTCTTAGTTTTTGTTTTTTAATTGTGCATTTTTTGTAAGTAAACAAGAGATTTCTGTTTTTGGTGGGGAGGGGTGGAATTAGTATGTATAGAAATTATCCAAATGATTGTTCTGAACATTTTCAACTAATTTATTAGCTATTGCTAAGGATTATGGTTGTGCTATTGCAAACTAGTGTGTAAGTTGTTGAGATGTACATATGTTTAATTTCCAAAAGTGGGATGATAATAATAATAAAAACCCTCATCCTAAACAATATTAATGTAACCTACAAACATGGCCACAATACTCTGGGCATTTCCAGTAATTAAAAATATATCTACCTCTCAGTAACTTACACACCATTTCCACAACCAAAATGTAAAATTAGTTAAAAGCACTTAGAACAATCATTTGGACAATTTCTACACAAAGTCCGTAAAAGAAATCTCTTTTTTTCACACAGAGGAAAAAGTGCACAAAAAAAAAAAAAAAAAAAAAAAAAAGCAGGTACTTTGTCAGTCATTTTAATGAAACATTTATTAGAGAGAGTGATGACTGCCCAAAAGTACACACACAAAGTAAGCAATTAATTACAGCAATTTTATGAGCTTTGTTTGTTAACCTAGCTTTGTGTTTTTCTTATTGCAATTTCATACAAATGTAAAGGGGGCAATTTTTGTGCCAAATACAATTTAGTTCTATTAAATTAAAAGTAAGATCTCCATATACAAAAATTTTTGTTAAGTTTTAATCAAATGTCATATATAGATTAGGTACTACCACAGAAAACAATACCGAAGATTTAAAATTAATTTTTAAAAATGAAAAATCTGTCTTGAAGCTTTTATTTTAGTTTCAAGCTAAAAGATTAAATTTAATATTTCCAATAAGCAAAATACTTTGCTGTATTTCAAAACTAATTTAAATTGACTGGAAGGAGATTCTTCCCCCCCCCTTAAATAGCTGATTAGTGCCCTTTTTTTATTTGTCTTTCATTGCAATGTAATTCTCTTTAGTAAGAAAATCTTCCAAAAATAAAATATAATTTTCTGAAACATTATTTGAGGAATATTAGTTGATTTAAAGTATAATTAATCTGATTTGAAACATTTACTTAGTTTAAAACGTTGTTCATTTAAGCTGTTGACATGTTTGACGACAAATTGATGTTTATAACATGAGTGCCTTTTATATATAATTTTTAAGGTCTCAGTAATCTTAAAAATTTAAGAAAATATTCTTTGTAATCTAATGTTTTATTGAATTTAGATACTTTCTGGCTTTAAATTTACTTAGTTATTGTTCTTGTTTTCTGATAATGTCACATATTTACAAAAATTGGCACATTTATACACATAAAAAAATTAAAAACTCTTAAAAAATATTGGTATTTGATGATTTGTACTAAACTTTTCCATTTATGATTAGTAAATATAGTTTTTACTTAATAATATCATCTTGAAGGGGTGAAGTTAATACAAAATTTTAAGTTTTAAAACTTAATTATCCTAATAGAAATTTTAAAAAACGAAAACCATTAGTCATAAAAAAAAAAATTTTAAAATAATAATGTCATTAATATATCTTATTTATAAAAGCAATTAAAAGCTTTACTAATTAAATAATATCATAGTTTTAAGTTTATTGCATTTTTTATTTTATGATCTGAAGAGCAGATAATTTTCCGTAAACTGTTTCTGTTTGACAAAAACAAATTGATGATTTAAATTCTCCAAGGAGTCCTGCTTTTAATGAAGAACTCTTCATATAATATAATATGGAGATTTTAATTTCTTGAAATTACATAAAAATAAGTGGAATTAACAGATGTAAAAGAATAAAAATAAATAAATATTCAAAAATAATTTCATTCATTTGTTAATAAGTCCTGAAAATTTCATTAAAATCTGATAATTGATTTTTTCAATAATTTCCAAAACAATGTTTTTTAATGCAAAAAAAAAAAAAAAAAAAGTTAAATTTTCTTCTACTAATCTTTGACCCACCCACTGATGCAAGAAAAACAAGATTTTTAACCAAAATTTCAAGCATGCTAGAAAGCATTAAAATTGGAATGAAATCAAAAAATACTTTGGTCTTTCCTCTTAATAATAACAAACATTTAGACAATAAAAACTTTGTTTTTATCAAATTTGGAGCCTTCATCATGGTACGCCCTTTTTCTTAGAGGTACCTAATATAAACTGTTAGTGTCATTGATGTGCCAACAAGACAATCTTCAAACATGTACTATATATACCTGATTATTATGTGAATTTTTATGATTATTTTTTTTATGAAAAAAAAAAAAAAAAAAAAAGAAATTGGGTAGATTTTTTGGAAGGATTAAAAAAATTCATGCAAAAATTAGGGGTCATACTATACATATACTAGTCAGTTTATACACAAGTATATATGATATAAATAATTTTCCATTGCTGAAAAGGTCTAAATGGAATAAATACACCAGTAGTCAAACTTTCATAGTTTGGTGAAAATGGCTTTATTGTTAGTGTTCAACTGTTCATTTTAATTTTATTCCAATAATTTGTTGCTGGGTGTGTTTGCTGCCTTTTATCTTTAATGTTGGTGTCTTCCTATATTTATATTCCTTCTCTTCAACTTTTTCATCCCTCCCTCATCAGTTATATGTCAGCATTTGAGTGGAAGGGCAATTCACATTTTCATAAACATAGAATATTTTTTTAATACTTGACACTTTCTGTTCATATATATCTGTACATAAAAAAATGGTTAAAAAGTAAAAATAAAGCAGCCACATGTAAGAAAAATGAAGTTTACCCATGATCAGAAATGACCGTACGGAGTTGGAGTTTTCAACTTTCAGTTTCGTACACCTTTGACAGTCGGTATTATCTCCCTTGCAATGGCGTCGTCAGTTAAAGGGAAATAATATACAGCAAATCATTACACGTTACACATAAATCACTTGACATAGTAAGTTAAACAAATTTTGTAAATTTGGTTAACTATGGATAAATTGTTCATTGTGGTTTCCTATTATTAATCCTATTATTAATTTTTGACTACTATTTCTTCCATCCCATTTCTGATGCTTCTTTTTACAACTTTCAGCTCATCATTCTAAGACATAAGCAAGCAGAAAGGATAAGAGATCAAATCTTGCCAGAGTCTCATTTATTTCCAGTTTAGAATGATGACATGATATTTGTAATACAAAGCAAAAGAAATACGAGTATAAATTTAATAATAATAATGACAATGATTTAACTAAGAAATTTATATGCTACAGAGTGTGGCAGAAATACTTCCCTCATAATGTTAAGACATTAGTTAGATGAAGAAACCATTGCCACTAATGTCTTACCATTATGTGGGAGGTATTTCTATCACACCCAATACTACCCAATTTGATATTACTTAATGATTAAAGAAAAAAAATTTTTTAATGAAAATCTGTTGATATTGGCCCCAGGAGTGGTATTTTAATTTAGATGTCTCCTTAATATTACATGTACAAAAATGTTATAGTTAAAAATAAAGCAGAAGAAAAACATTGGAGACTAAAGAAATACCAAATTAATATTGAACTAAATAAAATCTAATGTGCATTGCAGAACAAATTATAAAAGCCTAATCTGAATGTACATATACAATATTCACTTATACTAAGAGTGTTAAAAACATTATCATTGCTCTTCTCACAATTACTAAGCAAGGTATATTATATTTTCTCAACATTTAAAAGGACATCATTTCAGGAAATGTTCCTTTTATTTAACTTTTGATAACATTCTCAGACATTTAACAAAATATACCAAAGCATTACAGACAAAAAGGTTAACAGTAAATGTTTATAAAAAAAAAAAAAAAAAAAATTGAGGGGGAAAACAGAGCTGGTTTTTTATCAACCATCAATATATTCATGCTCAAATATTCTTGCCTGATGTTTTGAGGGCTGCCCCAAACAAATTTGATTGTCACTTTGGTATACATATCTCTGTAAAAAGTGATTTCAACTGTTAACTAAAATTTTGTTCTGTGTAGTCATTTTTGTTCATTTGTTTAGTATTAAAATATATTTGAATGTAATTTAAAAAAAAAAAAAAAATCTTACAAAAATTAAAAAAAAAAAAAAAAAAAAAAAAAGACAAAAAAATTTTTATTTATTATTTGGCATAAGCAAAATGTTTTAAAAAGAATTTCTTAAAATGATTTTTGCAATGGCAATAAATTCTGCAACTACCCACCGAATGGCCAATAGCAAGTTTGTTTATTTTTTTTTATAAAAAAAAAAAAAAAAAAAATCTTTTCAGTGGTCATTGATATCTGGATTCCTGCCCAATAATAAAAAGCAGATGTTAAAGCTATGAACCATACAAATATCCAGTCAGCATTTAGGCATACATATGAAGTATTCCTTTTATATACATGGTGTCCATGAAAAGAAAAAAAAAGTTGATCATTTTAACTAAGTTTTCCCTAACCAGATACAAAATACAACTACAGAAACAAAACTATTTTGCATTTGATCACATCAAAAGATGATGCAGAGGTCTGTAATGATTTTGTTGGCAATGTGTGTATGCATGAGACATACATACATACAGGGTAGCCAAAAACTTTCTTAATCATAAAAAAGAAATAAATTTAAAAAAGTAAATGATATAAAGATTAGAGGTTTTGTGTTTAAATGAGATATATATATATATATCTTAAGTATTCAAAATATTCAATAAAAACTATAAAGATTTGAGACACTGTATATAAAATGTAATTTCATGAAGAAAAAATTATGTTTAATAGAATTCAAAACTCCACCAAACACTGGAGCTTGTATATCTGGACCAGAGTTTACGTATTCAGCTACAGTAATGTAGCAATTAAAGTTTCATGTCAGTATTATCATTTAAGAGAAATACACTCAAATCAAAGATCAAAAAATATCACTGAACAGAATCTGTAAACCAGATGACCATTAACAATTGAATGGAAATAATTTTAGAATCAGTTACAAAGCTCTAAAGACTGAGCAGTTGTAAGATATGAAAGACCTGGTGTTTGGTGAAAGTTAAGACTTCCTTATTAACAGTTGATGAATATTGTACAAATCACATACACCTAAGCTGACCTCATCACATAATAGTCATGCATGTAGGCTAAAATAGCAATTGGTTGGCCTAAAATAAGAGAGAGCCACACAGCCATATTAGCAAATTTTCCATGAAGGTATGTATCAACAACCATAGCAAGCGGAATCTGAAAGAGAAAAAGTATATTGTATTAGTATTTTAAAGAAGCAAGAAAGAAAACCATAAGTTGCAATAATGAACAATCTTGAAAGGGTTTTAAACATTTTAGTAAAGATAAAAATTTTAATCTAGAAGAACAGGAAGAGAGAGAGAGAGAGAGATTAAGTAAAAATTTGAACATGCAATAGAGAAAAATATCAAAGAGATCTGAGCTTATACGGTTGAGATGAAAGAATTTATTCTCTTAAATTGTCTGATTAAAAGAAAAAATAATCTTAATTTTATCACAAATTATATAACCACAGAAAAAAAAAGTACAATTCCTTGAATATTTTCTATACTATTTCATAGTTTTGTGGGTCATTTTTCACTATAGTGTAAAAATTTCTTCCATTCTCTTAAAGAAGCAGTTTCAAATAGAAAGATAAAAGATGTTGATCATGATGAGCTGATATTATGTAACAGTTTTACCATTTTAAAAGAATCTAATAACCATATTATATTCTCTTTTACCACTCATTCCCATTAGAAACATTTGGTAAAACTGATAAAAAATTATTGCCAATGAGATTTCAGATTTTTCATTCGTCCTCTTTCACAAGTCAAAATTAATAATTTAGTGAAATGGAAATCACATGAAAATAGTAGAAAGTGACAATTTTATACTTTTATATTGATCAAAACTTACCTGAAGGCACATTCCTAAAAATGCCCACCACCTGAACATCCTTAAAGGGACACTGACAAGGTACTGTAATAAAACAAGTGTTACCAGCAAAAAGTTGAAATGTCAAGCAATAAATAAAATCAATACAAGAAATTAAACCTAAATTAAATACTGGCAGAGTATTGTAATAATAAAAAAATAATAAAAACAATAATGATGTTTATAGGATTTTTATAAATGCAAAGAAAATGTTTAGTTAATTTTATAAATGAGCTTTAAGAATAAGCAGAGATTTTGAGAGAAAAAAAAAAAAGGTTACCTCAAAGACATTTCTTTAAAGCAGTTTGAAAACAAATATCCCATCACTAGTTTTTAAATGATAAATATGGGTATCCACTAAAAATGTTTAAAAGGTGAGATATATTATAAATTAATTGATTTAAAATATGTTTTTTTATTAATGTTCTGTAAATTTACATTGAGCACTATTTTGTAAAAATAAAAATATCTATAAGAACACTGGATTATATATCTTACTGTTCTTTCTTTTTTATATATATATATATATATATATATATATATATATATATATATATATAAAGATAGAGAGATTTTACATATAGTTCTCACAGAAAGTAGGTATAATAGCTTGATGAAAGTAATTAAAGGATATTGTTTCTAGTATATTATTAGTCCAACAGACAAAATAGAAAAACAATTAGAAAAATGTTAAAACTAAGAATTTTTCAGACATGCCTGTGCCCTTTTTAAAAAAGAAAAATTTCACTAAGAAAGGGCACAGGTCTGTTCAAATATTCTTATTTTCAATTTTTTTTTCCAATCATGTTTCTATTTTGTCTAATAATAGACAAGAAATATTAATTTAATTTTCGATATACATATATATTTTTCTCTTATTATATACATACATTATATATAATGCAATCAAAGAAAAAAATGTAAACTGATAAGGAATGATACACTCACAGAAAAAAAACCAAAGCCACTTACTTCATGGAAAAATGCTGATAGTATAAATACTAAACAAGATGCCGTGAATTTCTTGTAGCCTCTCTTCATCAATGGCTTATACAAATGTCTATAAAATAAAAAAAATGAACCGTTTTGTAACCTGTCAAAATATCCAAAAGTCAATTTTCATAAGACCCATGACAACTGAAGTGCTCTTTAAGATGCACACAAAGAGAGAATTTTTTTTATATATTAATAACATGATACTATCCGTCTTTATATTTAAGTTTATGAATTATTTTGAATCAGGACTAAGTTGGTTTTTTTTTAACTTATTTGATACAATAGTATATCTTTTTCACCCCCTCTCTTCTGCATACTTTTGTCAGCAAACATAGCCCTTTAAAAAGTAAGAACTTTTAAAACAATATCCAATGTTGCATGCAAGATTTAAAAAAAAAAAAAAAAAAGGAACTTGATAGAGTAAATTCTAACATGATATTAACAGTTAAACAGTTATTTTTTTCTGTATATTTACAAAATTATATTACTTTTGTGAAGTGGGATAATTTCCTTTTTGAGGATTCTTAACACTGTATTGAACAAGAGTAGTCTATTGCAAATCATGAAGACAAAATCTAATCTAAAAATAGGTGCAGTCAGTTTATAGGACAAATTGATTCTTACCTGCTAGCCCACTTATGGACAGGAATATTCCAATTTTTCCAGAAGTAACCAACAGATTCTGAATTCCTAAAAATAAATGTACAAAACAAAGAGCCATTTGTTATAATAAATAAGAGACATTGTGTGTGAGTGAGTGAGTGAGTGAGTGAGTGAGTGAATACTGGAGAAAGAACTAAAGTAAAATAGGAGCAGATTGGTTTGCCTATTCCTGGTTCATACTCCTCCTTGATCTTTTGAACAGAAGTAGAGGGTTATCCCTTGTTCCCTGTTTAGGATTGTGTTTCTGGTTCCTTCTAATGTTTTTTCCCTCTTTCACTCTAAGTAGCCCTTGGCATCTTAGTGGCAAATATTGCCTTGTTTGGGGTGAATTGACAAAAAAAAAGAAAAGAAAAGTCAAACAATTCATTATGATTAACATTTGTTATTTTTAATATCACTATGTCTACACAATCTGGAAATGATGCGGCAGCAAATAAGACAACAGACTGAATCACCACAACATTTTTTTTTATCTTTTACAAGGATACTGGCCAGCTTTCAAAGAAATAAAACAATAGATGCATTTACAATAAAAAAAAATGTTAATATAGGAAAATAATATAGAGATTAATAAAGACATGAGAAAGCTTATTACAAAATGACAGCATATACATAATTTTTAAAATGAAAAAAAAAAAAAAAAAAAAAATGCTTTAATATTTGGTAATAATGTGCAAACAGACTGAAAGGCAGATTAAAAAAAATAGAAAAATCAAGGCAAAAGATTTTGTTTAAATTCTAAATTAATGTGTGTAATATGCACAAATTGTTCAGATAAAATATTTATAACTATCCTATTATACAACAACTTAGGAATATCTGCTGAAAAGTGTTCCCATTCATATGTAAAAGCCCACAATGAAACTAATATAAAACAATCAATATATTTTAAACTACTTTAACCATACTGTCCAAAGCAAATCAAATAAATTTAAAAAAATGAAATTAAAAAAAAAAAAACTGTGATGGCAATATGCAAGTCATTTTACAATTGCATTAATTACTTTATATACTCACGTATCTTGTGACCTTTAAAGACCTAATTTTGAAGCTAATTTGACTACAGTAAATGGATATAGAGTTTGGTCAACAGCATAGCCAGGTCTTGCAGTATATATGCTCATTTTATATCTCATGCATGATGTGATCGCCCTTAAAATTAGTCTTCAAAAGTTGCATGATACACAAGTATGTATGGTACATTTCCTGCATGAGTAATCTTGAATTGTCTAAACAATTAACTCTCATTGCAAGTAAGAAAGAGTTCTGCATTTTAAGTCATTAAGAAAGAATACCTTAGAAGCTAACATGAAACAAAAGAAATGAAAAGTTTTTGCCTCTATAATGGTATCTTTATTCATTATCAAAAAGGAAGCAACTGTAATGACTTACCACCAGTCTCTGTAGAATTCACGATCTCCAAACTGTAGAATTTCGGCCACTACATTAAGGCAGGAATGGAAAAACCAGTAGAAAGCAATCAACCAGATAATGTGATTGGGAATCTAAACCAAAGAAAAACGTATATATGTATATCCTTCACAACTGTAATGGTTAGTAGCAAATAAATCTGAAAGGATTTCATCTGGAAGAAATATCTGGTATATACAGTAGCATGCAGAAATGGGGGGTAGAGAGTGCGATGACCTTGGGCATCCATCTCAGGAGGGCATCCAATCAATGAGCAAGATAAAAATTTACTTTATATTTAATTTGAATAAAGTGTTTATTTCATGTTTTATCTGCTTTTACATATTTAAAATCTCTTCCTTTATCACATTTCTCAGTAATAGGCCCTATAGGCCCCCACTACTCTAGTCTTAGGTGCATACAATCAAGGAGTTAGCACCAGGTATCACCAAATCTTTATACATCACTGTGTGTGTGTGTGTGTGTGTGTGTGTGTGTGTGTGTGTGTGTGTAAATAAATAAAAAACAGCGGCTTCAGGAAGATGAACCTCAACAACTCGGGAAGGTAGTCCATCTAGAAGAAGGAAAACCCTGATTTCAAACCTCCACTGACTTGTGGTCATATCAAAAAACAAAAAGGGCTATGGAAGTAAATCCAAACAGAAAACCCGGAGTGGAGCCCCAAAGGCAGTTGGCTGTCAACACTGACGACTTTCCAGCAACTCCTGCAGTCAAGATGGCTCCAAATGTAATGCTCTGTACTCCTTTGGATCTTGTCGATACAACTGAGAGGAGATCCCATGTAGTTTGAGCAGTGCACAGCCACCATATGCCATCACCCAGGCCTGTGCTCTGGAGAGGTAACTCTAATCTCACCATCAAAGGACGGAATTTTGAACAAACAGAGCGCTACATTTATTTTTGAGATAAACGGGTGCCTAATATATATATATATATATATATATATATATATATATATATATAAAACAATTTGAAATTCTGTATTAAACAGTTAAAAAGATGAGACACGTTTAAAATTTGTGGACATTATTTACAAATTTAACAATTGCAATCACTTTTTCTACTCATTATTTCATTTACATTATACTTATCAGATATTAGCATATATTGATAAAAATACAATTTTTTTTTTTTTTTTACATTAAACACACGTTTTCATCACTTCTGTAGCAAATAACTGAAAATTATACAGTTATATACAAAAATAGATCTCATGGAACAATAAGCAAGGTCAAAAAGGTGAAATTTGAGAAATAAAAAAATTCATTTCATGAAGCTGGAGATTCAAACCTGGAATTAACTCAAAACTTACAATCTATTAAGATCCAATAATTTCTCATCACCACACTGTTCTTTTAAAGTCTGGCTAGTTGATGAACATGAGTTTGTACTGATGATACAAGCCACGTGTTTCGTTATCTACAGAAAACTGCTCAAGTTTGGGAAAGGTCATTATCATATCCATAAAGAGATTTTAAAAATTATTTTGGTTGTGTGGCTTCTGCCTTCATATTATTGAAAGATAGAAAAGGTAAAAGATTTCTGGAAAAAAAAATGATTGATAAAAAAAAATCTTAAATTTATTTAGCCTCAGGGTTTTACAGGAAAGTGAAAAATAATCAGTTGTGTGTGTCAATATACTCAGGATCACAGACCATTTAAATTGCCTTCCAACATTCTATGCATGCATCTTACTCATTTGTAAGGCAAACCAAACCTTCAACTCTGAGAATAGAATTATTATGGTGGTTGGCAAAAGAAACAGCCCAACATTCAAATTACAAATTGGAGATACCAAAATCAAACAAGTACAACAATTTAAATATCTAGAAGTGTTTTAAGAGAGGACAGAAAGCGCAACACTGAAATCCAAAGACACATTAATATAATGAAAGTTGCCTTCCAAAAGCTAAGCAAAGTATTGAAAAACAGGAAAATTTTGTGGAAAACAAAGAAAAGAGTATTGAACTGTTATGTAATATTAATCCTCCTATATGGTAATGAATGCTAGACAATCTCCTCACAAATGAAGAAACTTTAATAGAAATGTGGTTCTACAGGAGGATGCTGAGAAAACCATAAACACGTGACCAACAACAAAGTTTTAGAGAAAATGGAGACAGAACGGGCACTTAACATCAGAAAGAGACAGTTGAAATTTCTAAGGCACCTGATAAGGAAAGAGGACTCAGAAAATTTGATACTCACATGACAGATTAAAGTTAAGAGGGACAAAGGAAAACAACATGTAAACTACCTTACAAGCTTGAGTAAATGGATGGCAGAACAGGGTTTAGGAGAGATAACAAAAAGACAAAATTTATTAAGAATTACAAAGAACAGGAAATTGTGGAGAGCCATGAGCACAAACATCCTAAATGGACACAGCACATAGAAGAACACTCATTTGAAATCACCAAACTTACAGGAAAGAATCTCTATGTCTAACCAAACGTTCACTTATTAGAAAGTAATCAAAAGCCTCATTTTGGTGAGAGAGAGAGAAAAGAAACTACAACTTATCTAATGTATTTTCAATTTAGAAAAGAAGTTGTTTATCAAAGATTTTGCAATACTTACAGCTAACTTGAGAAGTCTTTCAATAGACCGCTTCACATCCATCTCAGACAATGGCTTCATGGAGTTTTTGATGATTGGTTCCAACCACTATGTATTTAAAAATTAAAAAGGTGACTCACAACAAAATTACGATCTGATAAAGATTTATCTACACAAGTAACAAGGCAGAAACTATAAAACAGGTTATTGTAATTAATCATATTCTGTTCAATAAAAAAAAAATGAACAGACTGACAGGATTTGGATGATAAATTAGTCATATATACATATTATTTTAAAACCTAATTATGTCTGCTTCAATTTTAAGTCAAATTGATTACTCTATAAACTTAGGTTTCTGGAAATTCATATGAAAAATGTTTGCAAATCTCTGTCCAAATTTGTAGGAGAAACCAGACTTGTGTTTTACAATTTGGCTATGAAGAGCATCAAAGTTTGGCTGGACTCTATTTTGCCTTTTAATGTCAGTTTCTCCTACAAAGAGGAACATATGTTCAATCCTTATAGGAAAGTACATTTTCTTTAAGACTGCTTGAATTCACAAGCTGTTTAAAGTAAAAATAAAATAGGACAACTATTTTAAATATGAGTATCCACTATAATGACGTTTGAAGTAATAAAAATGTCAGATTAAAAATAAATCTATTAATTCTTTAAAAATATCCCTATGTTCAATCTTAATCAATATTTTTTTAAGAAAAAATGTGTTAATATGCTTTGATTATTTTCACTATAGTAAATTAAAGATATAAATCTAAAAACCTTTTAATTACTAATTGAAGAAACAAGAAAATCTCTTACCTGTTGGATAAGGGCAAGTATAACTTGCCATAAAAATAACTGAAATAAAAATTAATAAGCCCTGAATATTTTAATAAAACAAATCTAAGATTATAAGATACTAAAAAGTCACAAATTACATTAAATTGAAAGTAAATTATAGTATATTTACCTTATAAACATTAAGATGGAAGAAATAAAACAAATATATATCTTTCATTAAAACATGAGGAAAAAATAACACCAGAGAGACAAAACAACCTTGTACATGAATAAATCATTATTTTATTGTTTTGCATATCAATGTGGGCTCCTCAACATTCTACAACTTTCATCAGTCTTTCAACCAGTGATATTGTTAACCTTTCTACTGCCTAACTGTAACAGTAATGTTAGTTGGGCAACAGTTTTTATTGTTTCCAAGAACTCTTCTTTTCTTGAGTATTATTTTTCATTCTCATATTTTTCTTAATGCTGTCTTCTGTTGAATTATTATCTGGAGAGGTTGAAGCTATTTCATTAATTTGGTGTCTTTCAAACCTCTTTATTAAGATGGACAATAATCAGCTTTACAGAATGTACAGAATTGCAGTGGAGTGGTTGATAGATTCAACATTCCCGGTGAGAAAGAAATCATCTGTATGCAACATTCTCTACCTAGAGACTAGACACATTCTAATAGGAGATGACATCAGGCATGACTAAGGAGATTGTCTCATGAAGTAACAGGATGCGAAACACTGAGCCACCACATGGACTGTATTCTGGCCACATATGACAAGTCTCCAATAGGATGAAGGTGTTGGACATAGACATGAGTCTATATGGACATGAACAGTCAGTTGTCGTGCCTGCCTACCCCAAATAAGTTTATGTAGTAGGAATAGTAATATTAGCTGTTTCCTTATAAGGAAACATTTGTCATTCATCAACAGAGCAGTTCGTACTTTAAATTGTACTTGTAAATTAAAATTTATATTTGTATACAGCCAACAGTTTAAGTATTTCTGAACAGATTTAGTAGCATGCATAACATCCATATGAAAGTCGTGATCAGATGAGGCTATTTGAGAACAGGACAAGAGTTTCAGGTTAATGCTTTGGTTTTGTAGCAATTTACAGTGTTGGGTAAAACTACCTCTAGCACAAGCTATTCTATGTTCAATTTCTTATACTAAATTTGTTATAACTGATCCAGACACCAAGGTATTTTCAGCATTTAGTCTTTACTAAATCCATATCCAGCATTTTTATGGTGGATTCAGGGTAAGTGCCATCACTGTTTTCATTCCAATTCCAAATCATAGTTCTTGTTTTGGAAAGGTATTGAGCTTTCTGAGAGTTAGTCCTCCTCTGCTGTTCTACGCATCTCTGGCCCTAAAGTGATATTGATTAATCTGAATTTTACTATCAAGCTCATATTAAGTTAATTATATTAGGCACGTGCAAAAGTTTCCAGAAACTTCTTTTGAAGATTATATATTGGATACACAATAGAAAACAGTTTTTTTAACAGCAACAGCTGGAAACTTTTGCACTATTTAATCTCTGCAAATCTCTAAATCATATATCATTTCAGTATATCAATTGCTCTGAAACTACATCTTTTATTTACTTTTTGTTTATTATAAAGAAAAATAAGTGATAGGCATTAAATATGTACTTACCATTTCTACAAATCTTTTAAAGAGAAAAGATTTTCTGATTCTGGAACTACGTGGGAAGTTGAGCTCATAGCACAAGGTGGGTGCAAACATGAAGTAGTGCAGATCTAGAATTAAGCATACACAATATAGCCAAGGAGTGGTGCAGCACGCCCATAAAAAACACAAACACACATTTTATACCAAATGAGATAAATTTTTTTTATTTAAGTATCTTAAATCTATAAATACTGATGAAATTTTTAAAATTTAAACCGTTTAAACTTGAATGATAGAGTATAAATATAAATTTGAAAAAAATAAGCAGTCAACAAAATTCACATCAAAACCTGATAAATATTGAGTTAATTCCCTTTAATATTTATAGCCTAAATTTATTAATCAATAAAAACAAAAACACCTTAAAATTTCATAAATGTTTAATAAATACACAAAAAGTAAATAGTTCTAAAGAATAAATGGATTTTTTATCCAACATTATTTCCTACTACTCCAAAAATTATTTTATGGATACAGATGTTTAAGTAAGTACCATGTAAGAAGTATAAATTACTGTGCACTAAAGAGACCCAACAGTTTTTGAATCTGCATCCCCCTTTGTAGGAAAAACCAAAGTCCTTCTAGGTTTGTCCCAGTTCAACAAAGCTGAATTACTCTTTGGAAGACTTCAGCTCAAATCAGTGGTTTCTTCTACACAGGACGATGAATGTTCAAACACTGTCGGAGGAGTACATTTTCTATGTCGAGTCTCTTGTGTACAGACTGGTGGACATAACATTGTTTAAACAACAAAACAAGGCATCTATTCAAACAGTGGTATCCACAAAATAATGTTTGTAGTAGGGTGTGTGTGTAAGTAACACACTAACACAGCCTAACCTATGCAAACTGTCTTGTACCTATTAGGTTGTAACATGTATTCATTTGATTTTTCTGATGTTTTGCAAATGATCTCTAAGAATCTTTCATAGGATTTCTTGCTTCTTAGTAACTGGTCATCCTGTGAAATTGTTGTTTAATTGTTGTTTAATGTTATTGAAATTTTATTTCAGATTATAGATTACCTTTGGGATACACCTTTGAGATAGAATGCCAAGTAAACAAAAATGAGTATGTTCAACATTTCTTTGCTTTTAATCAAGGTCACATAGCTGCTAAAGCTGCTCCAGACATTTGTTCTGTGTATGGAGATGACTTCATTACTGACAGAATGGCACAAAAATGGTTTTCCCATTTCAAACTCAGACTATGTTCTGTCCAACCTGTTCAGCTTGATGAGAACCAATTTCATGCACTGATTAAAGAACTGTGCCAGACCACTAGGGAATTTGCTCAGAAGATGGAAAGCTCTCATGTTACTGTCGCTAGTCATCTTCATTTAATGGGTAAGCTACAGAAACATGGTGCATGGGTGCCACATGCATTGACCAAGAGTAAAATACGCCAAACACTCCTCTATTGCCACCACTTTACTCGCTTGACAACAGGTTAATCATGGATACAAATAAGGAGCTCAGTTGGGAAGTTCTGCCACACCCACCATTTTAGATTACCACCATTTTCAGTCACTTTCTAACAATTTGAGGGGTGTTTCATCCAACAACGATGTGGAGCTTAAAACACAGATTGATGAAATTTTCTAGTCAAAACCTAATGATTTCTATCATTAAGCCATTGAATGGTTAGTAGATCATTGACAGAAGGTCATAAACAATGAAAGGAATTAGATTGTTGAGTGATTCATCATAACTACTAATAATTAATAAGTATTAAAATAAATTTTCAAAAACAAACTAATTTATATAAGTTAATATATCTTCCCAGATTCACTTCAAGAAAATTTTTCCTTAAATTTTTCATCAATCAAGCCCAAAATAAGAATGTGGAATTTTCATGTAATTTTATCACTGACTAATGACATTCCCAAGTGAAAATATATAGAGGATTTACATCTAATAAAGAGCAGGAGCAAATGCAATCAAATATAATTTAATAGTTTAAAAAAGGGAGTGAGAGAGAGAAGTGAACCAGTCCAAAAAGCTTCTTGCATTTCTATATATATATATATATATATATATATATATATATATATATATATAAATAAATAAATAAATAAAAAAAGAAGAATGCTAATATAAATATTAACTGAAATACCAAATTAATGTAACAATTAAAATTGCACCTTTAATCTTCAAGAAGTAAGCAATTAAAAGCACAATTTTTTTTTTTTTTTTAAATCAAATAACTGTACCACAATATTTGTGAATGGGCAGCAATTGTGAGTATGTCCTCTTATAAACGTAAGAAAATTTAACCCCTACCTTGGAGATTCAAATTTTTAGGGTAAGTTACAAACTGGAAACTACATTTGTCAGCTATGTATGATTGTTTCCCTGAAAATAAAGACAAAAGTTAAGAATCTGGAAAATATCAATTATGCACTTTAGTTTATATTGTTATTTTTTTTTTATAATAAAAATTGACCGAGATAAAGATAAAAATAAGATTAACTTTAAAAGGCTTAAAGAATGTTCAAAATTTATGAATTAACTTGGTTTTTAACAAGCTTAACCCACTTGAAAGAAGTAGAAAAACCTTAGATCTCTTACCAACTACCAGTCACCAGGCTACTGATCTACAGAATGAGTATTTTATATCAAAATGGTTGTTTTCTATGACTTATAGGTTATATAAAGTCAGAACATATTTTTTTAGATTGTAAGAAGTTTTTTTTTTTGTGAGGTAATAATAGTTTCAGTGATACAAATCTTACTAATTAAGCCATAGCAGAGTGGGGAGAAGAGGTGGATTCATACCTTCCTCAAGGGTATTTGTGCATAAGTGAATATAACAAAGCCAACTGGAATTGGAACTCAGCTCTTCGATTAACAATTCCATGCAATTCAATTACACCACCTGCACTTCCAAACTTACAGCAACTGATATTCCCAAGCAGTCACCCAAATAGATACTGACTAAACACAATATTGCTTAACTTCGTTGATTATATGGGGAAATAATGTTTCAATGAGATATGGCCATAAGCGACTGACTAATATTTACAACTGATTAAATACATGCCATGGCTAAAGAGTTTCAATTAAGTTGTTTTTTTTAATGAAGGATTTTTAAATTCAACAATTAATCTAAATTTCACTGGATATTAGAACAGTTCAATGCTCTAACTGCAGATCTAAAACTTGAAAAAAAAACAAAAAAAAACAAAAGAACCTACCTTCTCCACAGCTAAATGATTTGTGACGTTTTAAATGAGGTTCCTTCTTATACTGATCTCGGCACCAACAGTTGACGCTGGCATAAGACATCAATTTTAAGAAGACAATGGTATAAATTCCCAGCGTGGCTGCAGAAAATACTGGAAACAAGAAAAATGATTTTGCTTTAAAGAAAAAGAAGTTATTTAATTTGCAATAATGCCAGATTAGTTTACAGTTCGAAGAATGGATAAATTGATAGTTTGATACGTATTTTTAATCATTTAAAAAGTTTGGAAAGATGTAAGGATAGTAAGAAAGTTCCCAAATATTAAAGTTTTACTGCATAGAAAAAAAAAGAGAAAGTTTTAATACAAAAAAAACCCTCCAAAACCATCAGTTTAACTCACTAAACAATTCTCAATATAGCCAGAGTTATATATATATATATATATATATATATATATATATATATAAAATATATGGATATAGATCCGACAGTATGAAGAAAAATATATTGAAAAAAAAAACAAACAAACAAAAATCCTAATATGCGATTATGCTGTTTTAAACTGAAATCTGTTTGGATTGGTATTGCTTTTATGTCCATTGTCTCTTTCATGTTGAATTGTATATAGTCTATGTTAACTATGTTTTATGAATATGTCCTGAAGATGGTCTATTAGACCGAAACGTCCGACGTTGACATTAAAACAGCATAATCGCATATTAGGATTTTTGTTTCTTTTTCAGTATATTTTCTTATATATATATATATATATATATATATATATATATATATATATATATACACACACACGTTTTCAAAAACCAACGTCTCTCTAATTTAGAATTTATATTTCTTATTTTCAATCTTAAATGTTAATCTGGACTTAAATTCAAAATTAAACTACAATTCATTTAAATATTTTAACTCCAAATAAAAATAAATATAATAAAAAAATTATTGAAAATTACTTCAGCATGAAACTCTGAGCTGTGCAATTAATGTAAGATATTATGTATATATATATATATATATATATATATATATATATATATATATATATATATACTTATTTTCCATGAAAACAGAAAAAATGAATGGCCTACTTGAAACAGAAATTGCAATTTTGAAATGGAAATTTTTTTTCTAACAATCAGATTTGTCAACTGCCATTTTAATTTGTTACTACATTTACCTTTCATAACTTGCTCATCCATAAGATATCAAAGGATAAAATCTGTAAGGTGTTAATACATTCCCCCTTACCTATTGTCTCTCTACAGTTTACAATATTTAGAAACAAAGTTTAATGAAGTCGGCTTGATTTATTTATATAGAAAAAAAATAAAGGTGTGATGGCTAAATTAAAAAAAAAAAAATGAAAAGAAAACTGACATCTCATTTTAACAGATATATTTACCAAAATCATACAAAAATATCTTGAAATACTAAAGAGTAAATTTATTCAATAAAATCGCCATTGGCTTCAACCAGACAACTTCAGAATCTTCTGCAACTCTTCTGGACTGTCTCTTAGTTTAAGTTGGTGAATCCTGCCATAATCCTTGCCTTCAGTTCATCTTTGGTGTTACAAGTTTTGTTGGTCTCTCATTGAACTGCAACCCACATATAATAATCAAGGGGGTTGCAGTCTGGTGAGTTAGGTGACAGATGTAAGAGGTGATGTGGTCACAGAAATTATCTGACAGTCATGACTGGCTTCTCCTGCTTGTGTGACATGGTGCACAGTCTTGTTGCCAGACAGAGTCTTCCAGTAGCCACCTTCTTAATCCAGGGCAGAACTACCTCCTCAAGGCACTTGATTTAGGCCTTTGTGTTGAGTCCAAGGTCCTCACCAAGAAATTCGGGAGTTCTTTTCTTATCAGAACAATCAGAGAGAGTTTTCTAGGCTGCCATACCTTCATAATCACCATAAGATTCCTTGTACTCTTTGTGAATCCTCTGCACTGTCTTCAGGCTGACAACCAAACACTGAAATGTTTGTATTGGAGCTTCTGGTGCAAATGCCAAGCAGTACAGCATGCCATTTCAAAATTTCTGGTGGAGAAAATTGCATCTTGTGCTCTTTTTCTCACAGACAGTACCTAACAAAATCAAAAACAAACAACATGCATGCACAGAATTAAAAATATAAAATAGCATCAATTTATCCATCACACCCTGTGTGTGTGTGTGTGTGTGTGTGTGTGTGTGTGTGTGTGTGCATATATATATATATATATTTATATATATAAAATAATGCACAATGGAGTAATGAATAGTGGCTTACATTGAGGAATCAGAGAGCTGTTCAAATTACAACAGAGTTCATTACATTCACTTACAAGCAATATTATTGGGAAAGGATGAAACCATATATTCCAGTTATGAGTAAATAGCAGGACAGACTGGGTTGTCCTAAACCAATTGCCTTGGATAGCAACCAGTTTAGGAGAGGGACAATCCTGAATGCAAAACCTGAGAAGGATTGTTTAGGGGCCTTGTGACATGCTATTTACCCTAGTTCTCAGTGTTCGGCTCTTCCAAAAAGCATGGTTGATTCTGCACAAGCCTTCAGCACAAAAAACAAATCATATGTGAAAGTAGTCTAGCTGTTCAGTTCTAAAAACTGAGTTGCTGTACATTCATAAGTAAAAAACAACAGGAGAGTCAAATGTGTGCGTGTATTGAAATACAATATACTTAACTAAAGAAAACATTAGAATGCTCAAGAATTAACAACAGTAGGATATGTATGGAAAGCTGGAAATCAACATGGCTACAATTGAAAGAAAAGAAAAAGAGAGAAAAGGTAAAAAACAATAAGGAGTGAGTGTAAAGTGAAAAAAGGCAATGAAAAGGACAAATAACCACAACATTCTACACATTCATGCCAACAGGCACATGGGCAAATGCACATACACATTGTGAAAAAAAAAAAAAAAAAAAACTTGCCCCAATGGAAAGTGCATATCAAAAAGAAAAATCCATAAGTATAAGCCATCAATTGCTGATACCCCCAGACAAGTGGACGAAGTGATTCCTGGAGAGTCTGTCTATGAAACTCTGCAGTCAGGATGCTGAAGGCAACATCAATCAGCTAAGCAACAAACTTTTTATGTATTAATTCTCTTGCTCTCTCTCATATATATATATATATATATATATATATATATATATATATATATGAGAGAGAGAATGAGGCACCATATAGCCTCTAGCAGGAGGTTTGGTTCTTCTGACTACTGGTGTCCCTGTAAGAGTGTGTTAAATGAGTCAGTCTTCTATTTCTCCTCTCTTCACTCAATTTGAGATGTGAACATCTGTTGATAAAGCAGAATGTTTTACTTGTAAATTCCTTTTAAATTCTTCTCTTGATTCATTTAGAGTATCTTTGCCTGACTTTCAACTTACAATGAAGTCTCTATTGAGTGATATGCTTATAACTGTTCAAGGTTTCTGCTATCATCTCTAAACTGGATCACCACAAAACATGTAGATTTTGATGTACCAACAGCAATAGTGCTTAAAAAAAATGTTCCCTTGAACTTTTTTCCTGTTCTATCTAAACTCTACTATAAATGGCTGGCTGCTTCTTACTTTCCTGCTTGTTTGAAATCCCCTTCTATAGTTTCAGTCTTTAAGAACTCAGGTGAACCATCTGATACTTTAAAACTATTGGCCTATTAACCTACTGCCTCTTTTTGCCAATGTACGAGAGGCTCTAATCAACTCTCAATTGGTTAAGCATCTTACATTGCAGTGTCTTCTTTCAGATAAGCAATATGGCTTCCATTTCTAGAGGTCAAATGTTGATGTATTAACAATTATTGCTGAAAGAGTCTGTCAAGTTTTAGATAAGAATAGTAAAGCTCAGGCTGTTGCTTTTGACAGCTCAAAGTCATTTGACAGGGTTTGGTATGGTAGTCTTCTTCACAAGTTGAAATGGTATTTCCAGACAAATTTTTGAATTGATTCAATCTTTCTTATCAAATCACAAAATAAAAGTTGTCATGTCTTCTAGCTCTTTTTTTTTTTTTTTTTTTTTTATTAATACTGGTCCCCCACCACCACCAGGGCTTTATCCTTGGATCTATATTGTTCCTAATTTTTATCTATTTTATTTTTTGATATCATCAGTTCTCAACTCAGTATCTATGCTGATGATAACTATTTACTCTAGTCTTAATAGTAAGTCTGATAGATTCAATAGGATCAAATTGGCAGCTGATCTCAAAAAGAACCTAAAATCTGTTAAACAGGGCAAGGAATGGCTTGTTAATTTTAACACCTCCAAAACAAAACTGCTTTCTTTTAATCATTTGAGAGAACCATTTTTGCCTTCCATCAGCACAGCTGATGCTAGCCTCCAGGAAATGGCTCACTGCACCTTCTCAAATTAACATTTTCTGCTGACATGAAGTAGATAGATTATATTGAATAAATTGCTAGGTCTGCTGTTAGGTAAGTTGATTCATTGTGTCATGCTAGACAATTTTATCACCAGAATCTATCTTACACATTTATAAGTCTATCATTTGTTCATGACTTGAATATTGCTGCCACATCTGGTCTGATGCCTTTGCTATGTATTTAGACATTCTTGATAAAATACAAAGAATTTGCAATGTTAATGGTTCTGACCTGGCATCTCAGTTTCAGTCACTTTCCCCATCACCATAAGGTGCTTCCCTGTACCTTTTCTATAAATATTTTCATGGTAATTTTTCTGATGAACTTTCCTCTATGGTACCTAAACTGTATTTAAGCACAATACTTGATTGATAACACAGTCACATCATTTTACACTTGGTTAAATGTAACCATAAGTTCTATGCTAACAGTTTCTTCTCTCTTGCTAGTGGAACTCTTGTCCAGCTTCTTGCTTTCCAGTTAACTTTGATCTTTAAAAATTTAAATGCAATGTCAATAGTTATCCTATCTTCTTCCTGTTCTTTTATTGTTCTCTCTCCTTAATGTTTTGTTTTTCTTTTCATATTTATAGAAAAGGTGCAGGGAAGCACTTAGTAACCCTTTGCATTTTAGTAGCTTTATTGCTTTGCTTGGGGTGGAATGATTAAAAAAAAAAAAAAAAATAATAATAATTTCATCCAAACTATCTTTTCTTTGAAAATATAAAGCATATTAGCAGATATAAAGTATTTTCTTTCTTTTCCTGAATGTTAAAAATTTACCTTGAACTTCAGAGATATCAGACAGATAATTCAAATTTGAACACCAAAAGTTCATCCTGTAACATTTCGCAAAAGTTTTTGTCATTTCAATTTTTCATCTTTAGTTTCGTACATATGATTTTATACACAATCCCTTTACATCTACCTGAACTTTAGTATGAAAAAGCAAGGTTTCCTGTTCAGAACAAATTTCATCACATTTCTGAAAACACTATTTAAGAAGCCTATTTCTGATAAAGGTTCCCACCTTTATCATTCATAGTAGTTTGCAACTATTGACCTTTCGTTTTTTTTAAATGTTTTTGAACCCACAATGTAAAAAAAATTATATTTACTGCTTTGTATGTGCCACAAAACTGTTCATTTTACCAACCATAGACTGGGTTCCATTTGTAGAGCAATCAACACAATTTTACCCAAGATAAATTTATGGACATCATGTAATCATTTAGAACATTAAAAATATCCTTAGCACAAGTAGTTCCCAGAATTTCTTTGCAACATAAATACCATTCTATAATTTTGCTTGCGTTTCCTGCTATATGATTATCACACAATTCATCAAATCTGGAAACAAATCAATCTTGACATTTTTCCCCCTTTTTGTTACATGCCCTCAATATCTTCAAACAAATCTGTAATATACTTGACTATGGCATAATCAGTTAACAATTTTAATAATTTCATTTTCATTGTTCATAGAATTATTTTGCAAGCAGGGAGAATTAAAGCTTCTGCAATTGTGTGTCATTTCATTTTTTTTTTGCTTTGAGGACATATGGCCCAGTGGATAAAGGCATTGGTTAGATCCGGTGACTAGACCCACAGAGTTGTGAGTTCAATATCAAGCTACACCAGTGGTGAACCAAAAAATTCAGAGAGTTGAGTTAAAGGGAAATAACAGACATCCAGAAGAAACATGGCACGTGGAACTAGAATAATCTACCACAATGGATGAAATAATGGGTTTGGTTCAAAATTCCAATCACCAGAAGAAGGCTGGAGTGTACAACAACCGAAACATTGTGAATATGTCAATGAAGATGAGGATAACAGTCTGAAACTGAACATTTTAATGAAATTAGTGCTTTTGTTTTAGATTTTAACAAAAGTCTAAAATACTCTAATTAGTCATTAAAATTATTGCCTTGCAGAAAAGTGTCCGAAAAGGACAGTGCCTTCAATAGACAAGTTTACATATTGCTTTGAACCATTTACTTTTATCTTTAAAAAAGGAGTCAGCCATAGTTGGGATCATCAAGTCAATGCTAATGATCCTTTCCTTAGCTGCATATTATGTGCTTTACCAGGGCTACATACAGTTTTGAATTCAGAGTTTTCCTTTTCCTAGACTGGTCGCCACCCAAGGATATAGAACCCAGTCTATCCTACTCCTACATAGCAGAGGGGAGAAGAGTTATATTCATACCTTTTTCTCTCTACACCAAGTAAAACTCATTGTTAAATAATTTTTACTATATAATTGAAGTTTATTTTATTTTTTTATGGTATAGACCAGACAAATTTGCACTTTACAGTCCTGCATTAGCCGGATTTGGATGTTATTTGTTTCATTTAAATTTCTTTAAAATGTTTTTACTCTTGATTTTTACTCTTAACAAATTTAGAGTGTTAAGAACTTACTGCTTAAATATGTATTGTGAATGAAGGAACAGGTTGTAGTAGCACCATTCTCAGCTTCTACTGCACATGATGTGACTACAATCAATATTAAAAATTTAACTGCGAAATTTTCATTTATGAATGAAGTTGTAGCAAGAACTCTTAATGGAAATGAAAGTCAAATAAGGGATGCATCAAATGAAGACAAACATGAAATACTTTTGAGTAGCAAACAAAGTGATGTTCAGTTCATGTAGTTTGTATGAGAGTGTAGAAAATTTACAATGATTTGTATGGCTTGTTCAGCAAGAGGAAAAAAATCAAAATGAATTTAAAATTTGTATAACAACCTAACAGAAATATCATTCCTAATATTTCTGTTACTAAGGCAAGAAAAGCAGTACAGGGAAAAATGCAAAGACTAATAAACAGTATTACTTTCTCCTTGTTTACCCAGATTATTCCACCACCCCAACCACTATTGTCAATTATGCCGAGGCCTTTGATCTTGCTAGGCCAACTCAGCCCAACAAAATTTAAAAAAACAAAAACAAACTTTTTTTGGCCTTTTTCAACTGAAAGTTTTAGCTCTATACACCATAATTAATAGGGACTAAGTCTTTTTCTGTATTCCAGTTACAATTTTAAAACCTGTCATACTCATAAATTTTGATTTAATACTTTGTGACACTCTCTCTGCATCCAAAACCTAAACCATACTAAAAGCCTACCTACACTTGTCCATCTGAGAAATGGTATGGCAGTTTTACTACTCTCACCTCAACCAGCATGAATCATTTGGCTGAAATCAGCAACATCTCAAGTCCAAAATTGCATCTACCAACAACAAAAAAAAATCATCATTTGGACTGATGTATTTCTGAGCACTATCATATTTTTGGCATGTCCCTTCAAAATCAGGACAGGTGAGTTCCAATTCCATTTGGTTTCTTATATTCACATGTAAGTGGGCACCCTTGAGTATTGTAAGAATCCAACTCTTCTCTTTCTAGCTATGGGTTAATTAGTAAACTTTTGTCACTAAAACTAAAACATTATCTAAGGGAAAAAAAAGAAAAAAATTCTTACAATCCAAAAATATTTTCTGGCTTTAAATAACCTGCAAAGAGTTGATAAGCCATAAAAAACAAATCAATCAATCAAACTTTCAGAATTAAGTGATCATAGCTCTCCACAGTTCCCATTTATTTAATATCCGTGAATAATTCCCATAATTTTCTCAAGAAAAGTCAGTGTTTTCCTGTTGCCTTCTCTGTGGTTTTAAATTGCAAATTATCATTTTAGACTTGAAAGGGCCAAGTCTGCCATGCTACATTATCCATAGTTAGTTAGGTGGAGAAAAGATGGTATCATCTCATGGGCCTGAGTTCAAAGTAAACAACAGCATTGGAAGGAATTTGACCTTTGCTTGTCCATTTCAAATACTGTGTTGACAACCATTACACCACCTGCATATTCACACTATCATTACAAGTAATGAAAAGTTGAGCTTATACATTTTCTTTTAATCATTTCACCCAAAGCAAAGTAATGAAGCCATGAAAACACAAGGAATTAACTATTAAGAGAGAATAAGAAAACATTAAGGATAGAGAACAATAAAAGAACAGGGATTAAGACAAAAGATAACAATTGATATTACATTTAAATTTTTAAAGATCAAAGGTGACAGGAAAGCAAGAAGCCGGAAGAGAGTTCCACAAGCAAGAAGTCTGAGAAAATAAACTCTTAGCATCGAACTTAAAGTTACATCTTGCCATTTCAACTGTAAGATGAGACCTTGCTGCCAATCTATTAGTAAATTTAAACTTAAATTCATAAAGTCTAGGTACCAAAGAGGAAAGCTCATGAAAACAATTACCATGAAAATATTCATAAAAAAAGGCACAGGAAAACTATGTTACGGCAATGGGAAAGTAACTGAAGTGGAGATTCTAGGTTAGGATCAATACCTACCCCCTCAAAACAAATTAAGATACTAACATGATAGTTATACCAAAGCCAGAGTTGCACTAGAAAAAGATAGCCTTGTTAGTAGGATATGTAAAGTATTGCTCATTAAGTGATTGAGTCAAACAAGACTCAGAAAGTGAACTGCAGTGTGCTGATGAAATTGTTGAAAGACTCCTTTTTGTACAGGACAAGAACATGACTCATTGAACAGAGGGCCCATTAAAAAGAAACTAAATTGGATTAAGAGGTGTTGCTGTAGCCACCCACTTTTGTGCTATCCGATTACCTCTTTCTGCAGAACTTCTTGAATTATTGAGATTTCTGAAATGATATCAAAATCATAACCTTTAATTGCAAATGCTATTATCACCAACAATCAATGAGTTACCTATATATTGACAGAAACTGCTAAAAGTGATTATGTAGAATTTCTTTTGATAAGGACATAATTTTCAGAAATCTTAACTTTTACTCACTTTTCTTGGAAATTATACAATCTAAAAGCATATAAATAGCTAACAAAATTTTCAACACGCACAATATATATATATATATATATATATATATATATATATATATATATAGTCCTACTTAATAATTAAGTTAATTTTTTTATATTTTGTAAAGCACGTTTTCACTATTTATACTTTTTTGCCTTTCATTTTTGTTATTTTACCATATTTATTTTTTTCAATATTAGGCTGTTATACCTTTTGACTGTTAAGTATGGATTACAATTCAAGTCTCATAAGTATTTTAGTCTTCCTTCCTGATTTCATGCTTTAACATACACACATATATATATATATATATATATATATATATATTATGTGTGTGTGTTTAGATATAGTTGAGACTTACCAGGATTTGGATGAATATAAAGAATAACAATGGCAGGAACAACAAGAAGAGCCAGTAAGTTAGATGTGTGCAACCATTGACCAGGCTTATCAGCGAGCTGACCCTTAGAAATGAACAAATATGAAAGACTTTAGATTTGATGGACAGTTAGACATACATATTTGTAAATACAAGCTTAAAAAAATTTTTTTTAGTTGAAAATCTTTCCAATTACCATTATTTTTATCATGTTATAAAGAATTGACATTATAAGTAATATTGTGTAATTGAATGATAAAAATGAAAAAATCCTATGTGACATGTTTGTTTTTTTGAATGAACTTCTTCAGACTAAATGTTTTTATTAATGGAATTGTGTGTGTATTATACATTGAGGACAGATATGCATTTGTATTTATATTATACTTTCATACTTTTTTCTGTTAAATAAGTTGAATTATCTTCTATTTTTTAAAACATTTTGTTTTATGAATAACAAATACTCTATCTAAATATATTCATATACAGACATAAATATACCTACCTTTGAAAGAAGTAATTCAATTTTAAATGCGACTAAAATAAAAACTTCCAGAGCTGCAATTATACAATAGAGTTGTTTAATAAAAAAAATATTAAAAATGCATTATCAAAATATTATTTGTTGTGAGTAAAATATGACAGTAGGTTATAATGATTATGTCTGAGAAAAAAAGAAGAAAAGAATAGAAATGATTATATTTTAATGTTATTTGAAGTTAAGCCTTTTAAACTGGTGAAATATATTTAAAATGTCAAGTGTTGCAAATTTTGGCATTTATCAATATCATTTTTAACATTTTCTTCTCTGCTAAAAGGTAATCCATATTGTAATGGAATTTGCTGTATGCGTGACTAAAATTTAATCTTGGGAGAATAGTTTTATTCCAGTGAAGACTTTCAGAAGCTTAAAAGATAGGATCATTACGTATAAAAACTGAAGAAACAGTTAATTACAGGCTTTGATTGAAAATGAACCTGTTCACAAATAAGTTATGAAATAAAAACAAGCCAAAAATAAATAAATAAAAAATAAAAATAATCACCCCCACACTCAAATTTCTACAAGTATCATTTTTATCGAGATTTATATAAAATGTTTCATATTTTGTAATAAGTTTTGAAAATTTTCTTAAAAATAAATTGTTGTAAATTTATGAAGAAAAAAAATTTTTTTTTTAAATTAAAACAAAAATCCAGTTCTAAAATTATACAAAACAAAAAATGGTGACTTTTTTTTTCTTTTACTTTATTTTTTTTTTTAACAGGCCATTGGCTATTTACATGAGAGGGAAAAAAAGCATTACAAAGATTAAAATCTTCAAATCAGCACAACCTAAGAACAAGAAGAGAGATAAGATAAAAAAAATTCTATTTCAACCTTTCACCAACAATTTTACAAACTACAAACCTGTATTAGATAAGTTATGAAAAACTGATACAAATCATTTTTTTTTTAATTTTCAGAAAAAAAAAAAAAAAAAATATATATTTTATTTTCAAGCTAGCATTTTGAGTATTTACTAATACCAGTCAGATACATTAGTGCACTATGGCTTCAAGTTATGAATGTAATTAATATCAAAAATCTGTCTAAAAATAAATGTTAACAGAAAAAAATGCTAGGCGTTAAGACATGTGCAACCTAACCCCAAAATACTAAATGAACTTTGGTCATAACAAATTTCAAATTTTCACTTCTCAAAATTTATTTTAACTAAATTTAACTAAAAATAAATTTATATCAATGTAAACATATCAAATGGTTATTATACACATGCTATTAAAATTTTAAAAGAAATATATAAGCAAGAAAGCTACACGGAATAAAAAAAGCAAATACTAATGTCTAAAAGAAAAAAATACTCATGAGTAATCAATTCTTATTAAACAACAAACTATGGTTGTGTTGATATTTCAATGTTTATTTACATCATCATCAGAACATTATAATTGTAAATGATTTAAAAAGCTTAAGATGAACTAAATAAAAGTATTTGTAAAAATGAGAAGATAAGCATATTAAACACTCCCCCCTATGCCAACACATTTTAAAAGAAACAGCAAGACTCCATATTGCAGTTGTGAACCTAGCAAAATAGAGTAATAGATAAAGAATGAAATAAAGTGATTCTGTAATGCCATGTGTGTGAGGGAAAAGAAAAAAAAATCAATATAGTTGTCAGCAACTAAGTTAAAATAAATTTTGAGAAGTGAAAATTTGAAATTTGTTATGACCAAAGTTCATTTAGTATTTTATCGCTTTAAATGTAATTTGTTACACAAAATAAAATTTCTAAATTAGAAGCATTTTCAAAAATCATTTAACAGTAGACTGATTCGGGATTAGAAGTACAAGTAAAGTTAACATCAAATTTCAAATATAATTTGTAGCTTGGCTAATTAGAGTATTTTCCCTTTACTATTTGCAAATAATTATAATTCCATAAGTAGGAAGTGACTTGACATCAAGATTAAAGGCCATTTTTGGCAGCCTTTAAATGAATTTATTTGAAATTGTTTCAAATTAGACAACTATCACTATCACTCATATATAGTTAAAATGTCTGTTAAAACAGAATAAGCAACATGTAATAACCCCAAGCTAATTCTAGAAATATCTTTGGTTCATTCTGTGATAAAGTTCATCATCATCTAGGTTTTACTTTATCACCAAGTCTCGCAAGTAAATATCCTGCAAAAAAGTTGACAAATATTGACTATGCAGATGACCTATCACTGCAGACACCAACCAATGCCACAGATCTCCGACATCATCTAGAAAATAATGCCAATGATAGACTATATCAATGCCTCTAAAACCAAATTCATAGGCTTTTCACCAGTAAAAGTCAATGCAAACTGTCTCAGGTGAATCAATAAAATCTGTCAAATCTTTTACATACCTAAGGAAGCAAGATAAATTCTACTGAAAACGCAGTGTTAATGTATGGTGCCACTGCCTGGACATTAATTAATACCCTAGATTCTAAGCTTGTTGGAACCTACACTCATATGCTGAGAGCAACAACATGCAGACAACATTCAACTAAAACACAGCTCTATGGACCCATCCCTGATATTTCTACAATATTATGAGAATGCAGAATGCACTTTGCAGGACATTGCTGGGAAGTAAAACAAGAATTTGCAAGTGATCTACTGCTCTGGACACCTAGCCATGGAGCAAGAAAAGTTGGTCACCCAGCAACCACCTACAATCACCAGCTATGTTATGACACAGAATACCCACTAATGACCTTCCAATCTTGATGCAGGACTGTGATGTTTGGCATCATAGACTCAGGAATATCTGAGCTAGCTTGACCAAATAAAAAATAAATAAATAAAATTATTATGTAATTAAAGTAAGAAAGCCAAATAGGATGATAATCAAATAGAGAACATTAAAAATGCAAATGGCAACATAGATTTTTCAATGTATTCCTGTGGTGCAAATATTGAATTTCATATTAACCAAATAAAGTTAGCCATGGAAATGTGCACAAACAATCAATTATAAAACTTTGGTCACCAACATTAAAAATGGATTTTCAAGTTAATTAAATGTGGTAATTGAAAATCTGTTAAGAGAGGAATTTTTTAAAGATCAAAGAAGACAAGACAAAATACGGCAATGAACAAGAGGAATAATTATTCATCCAATAAAATACTTTGTTGCAATAATACAAATACAAAATAATACCTACACATTGAAAGTGGAATTCTCTAGCTATGAATAGTGCTTACCGTAATTACTTCTATACACACCTTGTTTTTTGGGGTTTTTTTTTTTTTTTTTTTACATATAAGAAACTTTGGATTTTGAGCAGTATTGAGACTTTAGTTTGGGCACAAGAATCAGTACTCTAGTCAGGTCAAAATAATAGAAAAGTGACATTTCAATGTAACTTGTAAATTTATAGCATGCTTGACAACAATATAAAAAGTATTTAATAACTCCTTGTTTAAATTTTACATTTATTTTTGGAGGGGGAGTTACTAAAGACAGACAGATGTTAGTAGTGGAGTTTAGCCAAAATGTGACCATAATTGCTTATAAGAAAAAGAAAAGTGTATTTAATATTAAATAAAAAAACTAAAAAAAAACTCAAAGTACTAAACTCTCATACACACACATTGTTCAGACTGTTGTCTTCATCTTTACTGCCATATTCACAATGTTTCATCCACTGTATGCTCCAACCTTCTTCAGATGATATTTGTTGGAATTTCAAACTGAACCAATTATTTAGTTCATAGGGGTAGATTGTACTAATTCACCTGAAGAAGGCTGGAGTATACAACAGCCAAAGCCTTGTCAACATGGCAATAATGATGTGGACAACAATGTAAACTTTCCACAATCTTATTTTGAAGTCATTCCTTTGAACTGTTTTCTCATTGACTCAAGGAGTTTGGACAGAAGTTCATACTACATTTGGTTTCAACACAATCTTCAAATTCTCCAAACTTCTTGACAGCACCTTATATATAAAAACATTAGTGTAAGACTGTAAAACACTTCCCAAAACTCATGATTAACATGATAGAAACACACATTTATTAAAACACGAGAGATTCATCCAATATCTCATACAGTCTTAAGTGATTTAAACCCAAGAATTCTCCTTCAGTTGATTTTGTTATCAACACTTTAAGAGTTTTCAATAACATTTAACACAAAGCTATTATAGGATTCGTACCGTCAGTGTTATTATCAAGTCTTACTAAAATTATTTCAATTCATTTTTCAATAAAAAGGTCATGTTTGTTTATATTACAGGTTTAGAGTAGTGTGAAGTATTTTAGTTAGACATAGTAGTATATAAACAAAATTTATTTTATAAACATTAAGTTGAGCCATAAATAATTTCCATTTTTGTCTATCAACTTGATTCTTCAACAAATAAAATACAATTACATTTTATTCAATGACCATAATTTGTAATGACTTGTTAAAATGTATCAGGAAGCTCTTTGATACCTTTTGAGTATAATTCTGCACATTTTGATGTTGTTATAAAATAAAATAAGATATATCTCGGCTGATTTACAGTCAAATACTCAAGAGCGAGAGCCGGATGTGAACGAGACAAAACCCTGTCACAAAATGACCATTATCTTCATTTACAAATATTCCCGATACACGTGTTCCGGTCGAAAAATAAAATAATATTTAAAGTGCTCTATTTTTCGTCCAATAAAAATGCTTCCCTCCTAATTATACTCGCTTCGTTTTTTGAGCCTGTTAAGCCATAAAAAACGCTATAAAAGGGGTCACACGGAAGTTCAACAGGCAGTCCACAGGTGTCCAGGGTAGAGAGCTGTCACGGTCAGCAGCTGACAGCAGGGGAGCATCGACCACTGTCAACATGTGTGAACTACTATGAGAGATCAACCTAGATCAGAAACCGGCTTATGAACTTTACCACAAGGTAGCTGTCCCAAGCCCACACGTTCCTGTTGAAATAAACCACATAAATCTATTTCTGCTGTTGTCGTATTTCTTTCTTGCAACCATATGCTTGTCTATAACAATGTGAAAAAAAATTAAA